GGAGAAGGAAGAACGGAACGATTATCTGGAAAGGACAGATGTCGCCATAATCAGACAGCCACCGGAACAATCAGTATGGATACCTTGCAGGCTTCGCTGGGGGAACTGAGCACTTATGGACCTGTCCGGTGTGCAATGACGTTGTTGCCCAGGACAGGTAATACAGGTAATTATAAAAACGTGTATAATAGACTAGTCCTATAGCCTATCTTTATCTTTAGGCTATAATTAAGTATAGTGAGTCTAAAAGTTTTAATTTTTTATTAGAGGCAGAGGCTATCCTCTATTATGTTCCTAGATCAACGCAACGGTAAGCAACAGAGAAACATGCCTACCGGGGAAAGCGTTGATAAGTACTTGCTCCAACCCCGAGGCCTCTCTAGCTGCCCGTAACGAATCCACAGACTCTCCGTACGGAAATGTTAGTTCCACATACTGAAAGCCGGCTTTCTTCGCAGCCGAATAACGGGCCTCCAAAGATGGCAGTTCCAGGAACATCATTGAGATGTTGGCTGCAAATTTCAAAGGCATCTTGCTTTGATCTGTGGAAAGTTTATGAAAAGAAGTATATTGTACGTGCGCTGTTTGGAATAGGCGTTTCAGCGATCTCAGCATAACAAAGCTTGTTATCTTATAGATCTGTCACTTGACTTGGACTTCTGACTGACTGTCAGTACAGAAAAGAGAAGGCCTTTTCAATGTACTGTCCACACACTACACACACCACTCAGCTGTGCCACCCTAGTAAAGGTCAAGGGCCAAGGGTCAGATCTACAGCAGTCACTATAGGTCAAAACTTCGGTTTCAAAGTGTTTAGCTTCTTTCGTCTCATTAATGTTTCGAGTTTATAATCACTGTAATTATTATAAATAATCATTTGCACCACAAAAATATCTTTAATTGGCTGCTATAAGTGATATATTATATGGTCGCTTTTAAGCACAAGGGGGTTATCACGAAAAATACAGTAGCTAGGTCTCTGCCATAACCTAATACATATAATATAATATAACGCCAATGAAACCAAACTTCTCCTACAGGTAGGGCAATGCCCACTTTTGATGTAGGCAAGGAGTTTACAAAACTCCTTGGGTGTAGGTCAAGATTTCAGGTTAGCCCGCTTGTCCTTAAAAGCGACCGTGTGTATTATTCTTCTCCACATGTAGTCGTACAAAAAAAATAAGACCTCTAAGATTTCACTATGCATTGATGTTTTTGAAGAAATCAATAAGACAGTAGGTGTGGAAAACAACGAGGGACATAATATGCGACCATCTAGTTCGCTAATGAGTAAGAGATTAAGTGTGAATAAAATTGTGAAATATATATA